ACACAAGGTCCTTCTCACCATCTTCACACACATTCTTGCTCTTTGAAATAACAGAGTAAAACCATAACACACATCTGATTAAAGTGCAAGCCTCTGCCTTTGGATAAAATCCCTAACCACTCCACGCGGTGCCTCTCTGGCACTACTCTGACGTCCCTCAGTCCCTGACACTCGCCATGCCCCGTTCCACTCCGTGCCCTTTCAACCTCAGTCCCCTCTCCTGGAATGCTCTCTCCGTTCGGCTCCCACGCCTTCACATATGGTCTTCTATCCTAATCTGGATTATAACTTGAGCGACCAAGGCCTCAGGAGCACTCTCCTCATGGCACCAGTACAGGCCAGTCTTGAACTCTGGGCCCAGGCAATCCTCCTGCCTTGGGCACACAGCTGCAAGACAGGTGAGCGCCACCCCCACCCCCCCACTGCGCTCTCAGCACCTGAGGGCAGGAGCTGACCCTGAACAGGTACTCAGCACACTGGGAATGACAGAGCAGCTAAGCAAAGGCATCTCACACAACCGAGGTTACGAAACAACAGAGCCTCTGAGCAAAAACAGGGTGTGGACTTCACAGAGCGGTTTGGTTTGGTTTGGTTTGTTTTTAGGTCAGAGTCGGAAAAGCAGAGTCAGGGGCGCGTAACCCAACATCTCAGCTCAGTCACTCTCTAGACCCTGTGAAGTTCATCCTCCCGATCAGGCTCCATAGCTATGAAATGGAGCAAAGGAAACACCACGGTGTTTGTTGTGAGTATGAAACAGGAGAAAGATGCTGAGTCCCTGGTCACAGGGACAATCACAGAAGGTCCTTGCTAAGAAGGACTCTCTGCCTCTCCTTTCCCTCTTCATCTTCAGATGCAGAGACAGCAATGGCCTCAAACAGCTTCAATTTCTGTCTCTTTCTCTCTTTTGAGGCAGTATCTCACTATGTACACTAGGCTGGCCTGGAACTCACAGCAATTCACCTGCCTCTGCCTTCCTCCCATCCGCTGGGATTAAAGGTGTGCATCATGATGTCCAGCATAAATTCAGGTTTCTTAGGCTTACTGATAATCATAAAACATAACTGAACCCTTTAACTGAACTATTCCATTTACACAAAAGTCACCACTCTTATTCTGGAGAGAGGGCAGGAGCAGGGCTTGAGCCCAGGGCTCCGGGCATGGCAGGTAAGCCCCGAACAGCTAAGCAACACCCCCAGTCTCTTTTCATCTTGAGATCTGGCCCAACTAGGCTTCCCAGGGTGGCCTTGAACTCACTCTGAACCTGGGCAGGACCCAACCATGTGACCCTCCTGATGCAGCCTTCTAAGTGGCCAGGATTACAAGCCTCTGCCACCTTGCCCAGCTCACCGCTCTTTCTTAATCCCCAAAGAATTAAGTAGAAGAAAAGAAACAGCTAGCTTAGGTTTCCCCTTTAAGAAAAAACAATCGGGATTTAGGAGTGATTACTAGGAGTGGTTGCATGTCCTACAAAACAAGTTCTCCCTCTACAAGGCACTCACCCTAAGCCCCCAAACAGGCTCATGGTGATACCTGAAACGTGCTTCGGTTTGCACAGGCCTCCCCACGAGATCATCTTCCCAGGGGCAAGGCACCTGCACCAACCAAAGGTCAGAACATGGGAGACTCCTCTTACCTTATGTTCGAATGGAGCACCATAGTAGCCATCATTTAGCCCAAAAATGATTTCGTTTTGGTTGCGGGCATGAATCTAAGGGAGGAGGAAAACACACTATTAGTTCTTACTCCAGAAGTCAGGGCAGGACGTCTGTACCCTCACCTGCTCCCGTGCTGAGAAACAGGCTAGGTAGACCTAAACGAAGGATAGCGAAGGAATCAGGTCTCGGAGGCCAGGTGAGCGAGAGCAGAGCACCCAGCTTTAGTCCAGGGCCTCACAAAAGCACCACGTGAGAACACAGGGGCATCATTCACACACGTTTGTCACCAACATTTCTTGAGTTGATGTGGAACAGTTGTGCCTTAAGAATAGGAGATGAACAGACAAACCACACATGCTCTGATTTAATTTTAAAAAAATTCTCTACAAATGCTTTAAAATGATGTCAGGTTAGCTTCTACTTTCAACAGCCCAGGTTGAAGACGCAGCACCCAGTCCCTCAGGCTCAGCTGCCAGAACTCTGGTCCTTTGGAGATGCCACTGCCCTGAGCTTCAGCCAGTGCTGCCCCGGATCCAACCTCACCTGAGAGGTGGAAAGAACACAACTTGAAAGGATTAAAGGGCAGGCACTGGAGATGCCTCAGGGGTGAAGAGCACTGGTTGCTCTCCCAAAGAACCTGGGTTTGATTCCCAGCATCCACATCAGGTGTCTGTAGCTCTAGTTCCAGCTTCTTCTGCCCTCCGTGGGCACTACACACATGGTGCACAGACATACAATAGCCATTCACATAAGAGAAAAATAAATCTTTAAAATAAAAGATTAAAGAACTAGTGGGACATGGTGGCACACACCTGTAGTCCTAAC